ATTAAATAATGTAGATAAAGGATACTGGCCAGTATTAACTTATCAATTTTAAGATACATATCCATGTAATACATCCCTGTCAAACAAAAAAATATGTATTTTATACACCAACAAGTTTGTGTATCCTTTCTTGGATCCAATGCATTTTATAAGGTATTTCGTACATCTCGTAAATATCTTAACAAATCTGTTACTTTCCACCTACTTATTTATCTTGCTAGCTCTGTCTGAAAATCGACTGGGTGCTTCCCTTATTGAATCAGAAGGACGAATAAGTGCATTGCATGTGTAACACTATTATGTGCAATATGTTATTTAGATGAGAGTATCATGTTGCGTTTCAATTATTATCTAGTTCTACTGTGTTCTATTGTAGTTACACAATAGTTTCATGACCATGAGACAATATTATTCCTTTTAAAGTAATGAAGTTAGTAATATACGGCGGAATACATACTTCAAAATTGAATACTTTACAATAAAATGGCTTTTATCTACCGGATGTTTTTTTTAAATATTTTTTCCAAAATGGCTTAAAATAGTTTGATCTCTTTTTATTGCTATATGTAGTTCAGTCAGAAATAATTCCATTTATAAAAAAACACATACAGGTTATTTTTATATTGTAATGTTTTGTACAGAATAAATTATAACATGTTTGATATCTGCTTTGAGACTGTCCGAAAAAGATATAATACATGTATATAATTAAATATTAGAACGTTAGCTTATATATTAAAAAGTGACTATCCTCAAATTGATATTCATGCAAGTATGCTATCCAGCTAACTTTACGTTAGGTGTCCGCTCGTATCATAGATAATGCATGAAAGAGCACTCGAGGTCTTCCTACGCAAGTGAATCATTAAGTGTCGATGTGATTTAAATTTAACAAAAACCAAACATCAACATATGTATTATTAAATCTTTACTTTAGAGGCAAAGGGCTGGTGTTATAAAAATAATGCGACAAATTGTTTGTTTCATTGATTACTACGCAATACTTCTTATTTGTCCCCTCTTTTGAGTAATCAAATAAATCTAAATATGAAAAGCATTTTTATTTAAAGTGGCATTATGTTCATATAAGGGATTTGCAGTGAGTGTATACAGGTGAAAGTCAAAATTACGAAAGACCGGTGGTGACTTCTGACTTCAGAGTTCAGAGTTCGGACTTCAGACTTCAGACTTCATACATAATGCTTTATACATATAGCATTTAAGGTGTTCTGAACTCCGAAGTCTGAAGTCTGAACTCTGAAATCTGAACTCCGAAGACTGAACTCTGAACTCCGAAGTCTGAAGTTCGAAATCTGAACTCCGAAGTCTGAACTCTGAACTCCGAAGTCTGAAATCTGAAGTCTGAAGTATGAAGTCTGAACTCTGAAATCTGAACTCCGAAGTCTGAACTCTGAACTCCGAAGTCTGAAGTCCGAAATCTGAACTCCGAAGTCTGAACTCTGAACTCCGAAGTCTGAAATCTGAAGTCTGAAGTATGAAGTCTGAAGTCTGAACTCTGAAGTCTGAACTCTGAAGTCTGAACTCTGAAGTATGAACTCTGAAGTCTGAACTCTGAACTCTGAAATCTGAACTCCGAAGACTGAACTCTGAACTCCGAAGTCTGAAGTTCGAAATCTGAACTCCGAAGTCTGAACTCTGAACTCCGAAGTCTGAAATCTGAAGTCTGAAATATGAAGTCTGAACTCTGAAATCTGAAATCCGAAGTCTGAAATCCGAAGTCTGAACTCTGAACTCTGAAGTCTGAAATCCGAAGTCTGAACTCTGAACTCTGAAGTCTGAAATCCTAAGTCTGAACTCTGAAGTCTGAAATCCGAACTCTGAAGTCAGAAGTCACCACCGGTTTTATCAGTTTTATAATTTACTTCGCATAAACGACAGATTTATATTTAAATCTTTACATTTTCCAATATTATCAGTTGGTCAATAACCATTACAAAATTCAATCTTTTGTAAGATAAAGTCAATTTAGCTCAACTTGACAATGAAAAAAATAAGCATAATGTCACTTTAAATTCAAGGAATAAAATTGATCTGAAATAAATTCTAGAAGAAATGAAATCATTTGAGCTACTTTTTGTGATATGCTGACACAGATTATTAATTATTCAAAAGAAGATCATCTACTCGTGATAGTACTTGTATCGGTTGTGTTCAATGGAATTGATCTTTTATTTTATGAATGAACTGATCGTATGAGAAATAGCAAGTAAGTGCATACAAAAATATGGTGTTTGGTTTTTACAATACGTTTTTATTTGGACCCACGATTTGTGTATACACCTTACTGATAATGTAGTGGGACAGCAAATGATTAAATACATATCGTAGATATTTTATGCTTGTTTCTTAATTATTTATATGTTTAGAACATGTTTTCAATAACAACATAGATAATGTTTATTTGACCCGAACTGTCTGAAAGGCAATTTAGCGTTCATTAAGTTCGTGTTCGTAGATGGTGTGAACAAAACACGTGTGGTTTTAACTATATCAAGATTTTATTCCGATGAATAATTATATGAGTAATTTTGAAGTCTATTTGCCCAGGTAAGGTGCCACTTCATTTAAACTAAAAGTTTATATTTTTCTAGTCATTCTTGCTCATTTTTCCAATACTTTAGTTTTGAGAATTTGAATCCAACAGCGTGTGATAGGGTGAGGTGAGACTTATTTATAATCTAAAATTAATTTATCTCTCATGAACAAAATTCCCAATAAAACTGTGTCTACAATTGTAGTTAATTTGGTCATTGTTTTTGTTGTCATCACTATTCGATGGACATCTTTTCCTGATTTTTCTTAAATATTTCATGTAAATAAACTTCAGTTAAAGCCTGTGCTAGGACTCATTAGTAACAGCCATTGACCATTGTAAGACAAATCACAGTGTTATGTAACCAAGAATGACAACATTTATCACAAGGCACACATATATATATATATATATAAAATATCTGTCAAAACTGAAAGGAATGGTATTACATTTTTGTCATTACAGGACCATCACACTTATGTTATTCATTTGTAATATTTCGTACCAAATGACTGTATTTTCTGCCATTGGATATGATTTTATATGAGTAAATTAGATCTATTATTTACAGGACAATTCATACATATGATATTAATTAATGCAATAGTTCCGGAATGCCCACGGCGTTTTTAATAAACATATTATCAGGCAATGTGTCCTCGTTATAGATTTTATTCAATCAACTTAATTATATTTTCTATCGCTTTATTGTGTAGAAAATATGGAAACAATGATTCAGGAATACACAAAAAAAGGAAAAAAAAAGGAAAAGGTATATGCTAATCGTAACATATGAGGAGAAACGAAACATGTAAGGAACTATAGACATATTTCTTAACATATGTTGAGAAACATATACACTTATTTTAACATACATAGAGAAACATTTTCATGTATTTTAACATATGTAAATAAACATATACACTTATTTATTTTAACATATGTAAAGAAACATATATACTTATTTTAACATACGTAAAGAAGCATATACACTTACACTTATTTTAAAATATGTAGAGAATTGAAACATATACACGTATTTCAGCATATGTAGAGAAAGACATACATTTGTCTTAACATATGTTGAGAAACATATACATTAATACTAACATATGTAGAGAAATAAATTACTTACTTTAACATATTGAGAGAAACATAATGTTACACTTTTGTCACATTTGTAGCGACACGAAACATTTATAGTGATTAAACATATGTAGAGAAACATATACAATTATTCTTACGTATAAAAAGAAACATATACACTTATTCAAAATCTGTAGGAAAACATATACACTTATTCTAACATATGAAAAGAAGCGTATATGCTTATCTTAACATATGCAGAGAAATATATATCCTTCTTTTAACATATAAAGAAAACATATTCACTTATTTAACATACATGTATGTCGAGAAACATTTACGCTTATTGTAACATATATAGAGATGCATATGCACAGAATCATATACTCTTATTTTTATGTAGAGAAATATTTATAGTTATTGTAACATGTAGAGACATATATAAATTGAATTTAACATAATATTACATAAGAAACGTATATGCTGACATTAAATATGTAGATAAATATTAATATTGATGATCTTTGTAATAAAATATAATTATATATTTCTTAAATTATTTTCAACGACGTATATCTCGAGATTTGATGGATTGTTTTATTCTTTAATGCTATGTTTATATGTAAGAAGTAACAGTTAAATTACGATTCACTAATCTCAGAAGAAATACATACAAAGAACTGAAGTGTACACAATTATTCGTATAATGCATAAGAATAGTTGTTTCTATGATCACTTTTATATCGTACTGGCAGTAATCTTGAAGGGTATAGCACGTACACACGATATATACAATTCACTGATTTTATTGCTAATTTACGTGTTTTTAGTTTCATTTATTTGTTTGTGTTACTGGGTTTTAGCAGACGGTCCGTGTAATCAGCTTTCCTGGATAATACCAACCAATAATTATGAATTTCTCCGCAAGTGACCGGCTACCTATCCAACATGATTTGTGATTTAGCGGTGAGAGACAAATGACCATTAGACTTAGAGACATTGTTACCTAGAAATGTGTGTTGGCAAAGGGTCGAATAAGGATCCCTGGATTACTAATCGGTTGTTCTCCCTATGTACTGATCAATCTTTTTGCAAGTTTTAAAAGTATAAAAGTATGAATTTGCAGCATTAAAAAGAAATGTATGTTTGATAATCAAATTAAGCCGAATGTTGTAACATGTCATTTAATATTCAAAATCGCGCCCATTTGATTAAACTTTAACATAACAATAAAAGAAAGATCGCATTCCAAGCATTAAGCCGACAGTATAGGATATTGCATCTCTTCCTTCAGTTTGAAACACATGTTGTTAATTATTAACAGCAGTTGTATCTTCGGCTGACAAATACGAAGCAGTGTGAGCAAAAGTATTGCCTTTGTTTAAGAAAATTGATCTAGCATATCATAGATTCATCAGTCTAAAAACAGTCAGAAAGAAGTCAGTCAATTGTGTGTCCGTGATTATTGATATTGATAGGAGTAAGGTTATTTAAAGCATTGTTGTTTTTATCATTGTTATACAAGTGTTAAGTTGTATTGTGTTAGCAAGAAAATATTTGACATCAGAATGTCAACATGTAGAGAAAAGGTACAATATTTTACTATTTTTTTAATCTTCAGTTATTAAATTGAATTAGTGTTTATCATTTGTACACGAAGTTAACAAACATTAATCAAATGTAATTTAATAAGAATTATTCCTTGTAAAGTCACAGTGTAAACATTTTAAAGGATATTGAAAAACAAATGACAGTGAAATGGAACAGCTAAAGTGAAACTGAATTCTCGATATCATAACGGTGACGTTTTATTTCGGCAAATGAGAAACAGTAAGGTTATTTAAAGCATTGTTGTTTTTAAAGAAATTGGATATTGATGCAGGTAAGAGGCCATTTTTATTTAAACTTACACTTTTATAATACACTTTTTCTTACTGAAATTTTGCGTTCTATAAAGACATTGGCTGAAGCACTTAGAGTAAGATTAAATTATTTCCAAATCTTAACATCTAAATCAGAATACTGACCGGAAGAAGCAATTTATTTATACCAAATAAAAATGCATTTCAGTACTACTTTAAAAGTGATATTAATCTCAAACTAAAGTCAACATTTAATGCCTTCGATTAATACTTTGTTTTTAATTGTGTTTCATTTAAAGTAAGATTATCAGTAACGTTAGATTTGTCTTTCGTGCAATTCGCCTTACCTGTTGATATAAATACATTTATTCTTATTGTAGAATATACCTAGTCCTTGATTATATTTTGTTCCTGAACTCATCATATATACGCGAAGATATGTTTTGAAATTTTGAACTGTTTTCCAAAAATTCCAAGTTGATTTAATTACTAGTATTGCATTGGTAGAAATAAATGACAGCTTCAGAAGCAGACAAAGTAAAACTCAAGAGAAACAAAATTAACTTTTTCATTATCTAAAGTTCATGTTACACTTGCAGAGAAAACCCATTTGTTAATGAATGTTTTTATGTTGCTCATAGTGTATGGCCTCAATTCATCTGATGTACTTGTCTATCAAAAGCCGAAAATCCGTAAGAACTGAACGACTGTGACAACGTCTTAATTTACATTAATTTAGATACAGTGCAAAGGCAAATCCCTGACTTGATACAACTGTTGATAAAAACATGCACACAATGTATGGAAACAACTACATGTACTATTAATTATATAACTTTTGTTTTACAAGGCATCCATTAAAGTAGATTCATTTCATTTGCCGGCTTAAACTTCAATTCTATTATATACAGATTTTTGTAGATAATTCACTTATTGTATCAATTATAAAATTTATTGTCACTTTAGTAACTTCATGTATGTAAAACATAAATGTTAAACATTATCAGTATCAATATCATAATAACATTATGATAAGTTGATGTTCATCACAGTCATATTATCTACCAATTTTGTTGTTTTTGGTGCAAAAGAAATAGGTCATAATTATAATGCTTACTTTCTATTAGTATATGTCATATAAATTTTTATCGTTTATTTATCTCTAACGTTGTTTTCTTATGTAGTGTTTTACATTTAGATAACACAGATTGATGTTATTTTATTATCTAATACACTTGTAGACGTAAATTTTGTAACTGCTGAAGCCTGAGAAATGTTAATATATGTTACAATATATAAATGTCTTATATTGGACATTTGTCTTGCAATGTTTAGACTAAAGTTAAGACAAGTAGTTGGAAGGATTGTACAAAATGACACTCCTATCTAGGGAGCTTTGGATTTCTGTTGAATGTCGAATTGTTTTCAACAGACAGTTGATGTTTTGCAATATAAATCACCAAACACTATTCCATACGAGTACTTTTGCTGTAATTCAATTATCTCGATTCAGCAGCTCCATATATATTGCATTTTACAAAGCCTAAATATTTGTACGAGTTTTCCAAAGAACAAACAAAAAAACGATAGAATATATCCGGTTTGTAATGTTGATAACTTTATCGTTTATAAAATGAATATTTCTGTATTTTTTACTAACGTTAAATTAATGAAGCATTTGGTCCCTTAAATGAACAAAAGAATTACTCTTTGATTAAAAAATTTCTGTTGAGGATTTGGTGGTCAAATCCCATTTATTTATTGTGAATGGCGGCGCCCTGTGGCATATTTAGGATTGTGTATCAGTATCTATGCTATAAGATGCGATTGCACTGTGTAACATAGTCTTTATTGTTGAGGAGCTACACATTTTTTAATTAGTATTCTGTTAACGATCTGTTAATGATTTATGATTTCGATATTAATAAAATCATTAAATCATACTTGTTTAATCAGAACAAACTTTCGATTATCGCTTATTGACAATAATTAGGATATAGCTTCAACGTACCTACCAAAACATAATTTGTGTATCAAAACGCTATGCCTTGTTTTGATTATATGTCTTTGAGTACTCTTTGAATTTACCCCATCTATCCATTTAAGTTTTTATATGAATATTATAGCGTAATTCTTTCATTTTGATTTCAGATGTACTTTAGTGACTGTTTTATGCTTTTGACTATTCTCTATTGCAACCCTTTATAGATTATAGATTACTTTTATTTGTATATTGATCGCATTGTGAATGTAACTTGGTACTTGTCGTGTTTATGTGCAGTACGTTTGATGTCTAAGAGCAAATACCTTCAAAACAACTATAATAACGAAGTGCATGAAAACTATAAACGTAACGGCTACCCAAAACAAAGTTCATTAAGTACATCACAAAAGTAAAAACGATTCTCAAAAAGCCTTTATCAAATCAGTTCATTGTTCACCAAATAATCATTTTGAATATTGAGAAACACATGTCTGTCAGAAAATAAACGCCGTTAATTCTAACCTGATCTCCTAGTGACATGTTTGCACACAATAATATGATTCAAAGATTTTTTTCTTGTTCTTAGACTAAAACTATTTCGAACAACATTAATCTTGAAATTAATTCATCATCTTAGATATTCCGATAAACAGTCGTCTTTAGAGTAAAAAATCGCTTACAAATACTTTAATTATTTGAATTTGATACGGGGATTTTAGAGACACATTTTATACATGATTAAATACTCAGTGGTGCAACCTTTTGTGTGACAGATATGAATTAAAATCACTGGAACATAAAAAAGAAACGAAGCAAAAACACACAACACATATTCATTATGTCAACAGTCTCATAGGAAATAGGAAAACGTAAATTAATTCTTGTTAAGTCAAGGGTTGTAATTGATTACATAATTTTATGACAGTCAATAGTAGGATAAGATGTTCATGATAGAAAGTGTTGATTTTTTCAAAGCGCTTGTAATCGTTGACACGTTGAATGAAAATGTAATTTAAAGAAATTAAATTTATCTACTCATTTTCTATAAATATGTTAAAGGGTAAGTTGATCGATTATCATTTCCGGTCAACTGAATTTGTTCACATTCTAAATGCAAGCAAACAAAATCTTTTTATTTACAAATATAAAAAAGTCAATAAATTTATTGTCGACAATCAAACTGACAAAAATTTAGAATAAATATTTTGAAATGTTAAGCATCATTCATCACTCAGTATGTCTTTACCTTCCCTGTAATAATGTTAGTCTGAGAAAAGCAATTTGCTAATCTTTTAAGCGGAGATTTTATAGCTTCTTATACTGCCGACTCTTGAAGTTAAAAGAAAATAATAAAATATGCATGAACATAAATACCAATTGAGGAAATAAAACTCTTTTGCCGTATCCTGAAATGCTTACATTGACAGAAAATCAAATATGTTTGTTTAAGACCTTGCCTCATTTTAATGATCGAACTTTCAATCATATATTTTTATTATAGCACACATCCCTGCGTGATTCCGAGAGAACTGAAGCCACAGTATCGCCTTTGTAACTTTTGTTTAATGATAACAAACAATTGATCTAAGATTGATTCTCTAAAAGAGAATTTCTAAATTCAGGCAATTGCTACCAAGTAGATATTGGAAGACGTTGCTTTATCGGAGAGTTTGCAATCATTAGATATACTTGTTACGGGAGTTGAGGATAAGATAATTGGCTCATTGAGTTGTGACACAGTACTCCTAATGATATATATCTGAACAAGAGAATCTTGGTGATAAATATTTGCAGACATTTTACAATGATCTAAAGGTAACTAAAATTGTTATGCAGACGAATGTGTGATATGGATACTAAAATAATGTTACATTCATTACAATTTATTAAATAAACAAGAGATAATAATTCATTATTGCTTTGTTAAATATTCTGTACCTGAAAATGAACGATTAAGATTTGCATCATTGATTAGATAAATTAGAATCGAATATTTCAAGTGAAATATAGATAAATTATTTTGCTTGTCGAATAATATCTCAGTTATAAAATACTTTAAATATCAAAGAACTATTGGAATACAATAACTTATTTCAACACTATAACTGTTCTGAATCAGTTTAGATTAGAAGGTTAGTATGTGTTACTTTTGTAAAACTCTTAATACTTTTAGAGTATTTCTTTTTCATTTTTTATAAAATGAACAAATAATTATATAGAATGACGCATTTTGGCTTAAGCATTTTAAAGTCTTCCACTGCTTTTATTGCTTATTTTATGATATGTGTATTGGTTTGATTAGTTTATTGAAATATTATGAAATTCTAATCTCAGAGATGTATCATTGTTAGATAATTAGGCTAAGATGTCAACGAAGTGTTAGAGACTAACACACAGTACTTAAACTATGACAGGACCTATATCAATTTCCCACTAGTTGTTATAAAATTAAATAAATTCATTTTGGGATGAAAATAAATCTAATTTATATTTTTTGCTTACAACATATTAAATGCGATTTTTTTTTAAGTCGGTCACTGAAGTTATTCTCAAATGAAAATTACTTTAAGTAGTTTTTACACAGATTTGTAATTGCTTTTCGCACAAGTCAAACATTAAAATATCTCTATGAAAATTTAAATAATATCGGTTGAAAGATTTAAGCAGTCTGAGAATGACCGCAACGAAGAGCTATATTTGCTTCAATGTAATTAAATAAAAGTGTATTTATTTGTTTGTCTCTAACCGTGTTATTTGTCTTCTTACAATACTCTTTTATCTTATACAGTTGATTGTGTTTAGACGTGGATGTCTCTATCAGCGTACATATTGTTTTTTAACATATAATTGTCATCCCGTGCCTACTGAGTTCAAATACACTTGTAAAAAATCATTGTCTAGTCTTGGGTACTAGTTTGTATAACAAAATGGCTTAAATCTAGTTCAAATAGTTACAAGATCAATTTTAACAATGTTTATTATGTTTTTTTTAAATCTATAACAATAAGAATATATTTAGGCAAGGACTCTTTTTCAGTAATTTTTTATTGAATAATCCCATAAAATCAAACAAGCATGGGAAGGATAAACAATGTCCTCTTCCATTTTGTTCAGTTTTGTAACAGAGCACAATTGTTTATTTTTTCATCAATTATTACCCGTTTTTAAGCATTCTTTCAATAAATTGTAAATCAGCAATTAAAATTGTCTATATGCCTGTAGCTGGATATATTTGTTTATTTCTAACAATATTCAGCTATTTGAAAATATTTAGATGATAGCATTATGAATATATTTTCCATGTTCATTTATTTGATAAAATAAACATCAAAGTAGCATTATAATAATGTTCATTACCTTTTAAAAATGCGATAAGTTATCCAGCGTGTTATGCCGTGTCATGCAAATTGTCGTAATACTTGCTTTTATATTCCAATAGAAATATGTTGGAAATACAAAAACATGTTGACGTTTTTTATTCTTACTTGTACAGTTAATATTAATATTTTGGGTTTAGATATGTATTTCAATAAAAATTAGCTTAAACATGTTTCTATGAAAGTCTATGTTTATTTTTCAGGTATGTTCGCAGTCATGAAGAAACAGTTATCCTGAATTTAATTTACTGAAAACAGCAAAGATGAAAGCTGGCATCTATGCAATCATGTGGTTATGTGACTCACATACTGTGATAATTATATTGTCGATACTGAAAACAGGTAAGACATCTATGATTTAAAGTCGATATATAAGGTACGAAAGTGTTTAATATGTGAGATTTTCAGGGCATATTTTTCTTGATTGAAATTTTTACGAATAAATTAAATCATATTTTCATTACCATTAAATAATATAAATTATTCATTAAAATGCGTCCTTAAATCATTATGTTTATGTTTAGTAAGGATAAGTCCCGGATATCTTTACAAACGCAAACATGCGACGCAATGGGCCATTTAAAAAGTTAATAGCAAAATAAATTTGATTATCGAAAAACTAAAAACGATATGTTTGCAGTGATAATCATATCTTTAGGTACTTCAGTGTAATGATAAAAGTCATTTGTTCTTATCATTATCTCAATTTTATGATACGAAAAAATATCCACAATATACATAAATCAGATTGATTGAATGTAAAACATTTATTGACCCTTATTGACTCTTTCATGTAATACACGTGACCGACTTGATTAATTGATTACATCAAACGTGAGTGTGATCCAAGTGTAAGAACATTGACTAACGAGCACAAAGGTATTTGTCATCATTCATCTAACAATCTAATCACGGCACGCGCATGACATTATAAATCAGCTAATTGCATTTTGTTTACGTTGTGATTAAAATCAAACAAGTTTATGGTAACTAAATTTTAGTGCATTTATCTTTCATATAGCAATGACATGATATTTAATCGTTAAACTTGAAGCCTCTTTTGTGTATAATAAAACTGAAAGTTTGATCGTTTGTGATAAGTTAACCGGTTAATGATAACAATCGATTCGCTTTGCTTTGATCATCAAACATTTTACACGAGATTGATAACCTTAGACTCTTATTAGCCAGCAGGCAATAATAGTTGATTTGTTGAGAAGTTAAACACTCTTGTTATTAGATACAAGCAATTGATACTTAGCGCTGACAATAATCCTAATGATATTCTAGTGAAGGAGTCTCTAGGCGAGGATTATTTCCCGACAAGCAATAATTTGGAGTGAAACTAAAAGTAACAATGGCGCGTTTACAATTACATTAATGAGACTAAGCAAGGGAATGATTGCAAAGAAAACTTGAAAACTGACTACAAAACATTTTTGCACAGGTTGTTTGTATGGGTAAAGTATTGGATCTATGTTTTTAAAAAGACGGAATTAATCTACAAAAAGGTTCTTGAAGAGTTTACAATAAAATCAATGTGAAACTAGTGTGATCAAATTTGTTTGTGACTGGACATATTTGTAGATAAATAACACTACAGTATCAGTCAGTCAACAAAAAGACTTACAAATTTAAATGTAAAGCAGAACTAACTTTGAAACATTATGTGAACAATAACCAAGAATGTAAACAGGAAAGTGACAAACTTTTCCCCACATTTTCAATTCTCATGCGACTACGTCTTGTTTTAGAATGTGTTTTAGTATTTTTTATATCTTTGCTATAATTATTTGGACATCACAAACAGGTAAGTGATGAAACTATGGCATTAAGAAATAATGTACCTTTAAATATAACAGACTTAAAGCAATTCCAACTTGTTGTGACCCCTTCAGGCATGTATGTATTTTATATCAATGTTATAATACAATATTGAGGTTAAACTTTACATAAATAATTCATTTTCTTTTATCCGTATAAAAGGTCTAGAAGGTACTATATCAATTGTCATCGCGAGCATAATTGAAGGAATGACAAGCACAAATGCGGGTTGTTAAACTGTATTAGACGTACAATAATGATTCCCAAATGTATGATATTTTCTACAAAACCAAGAATCACTCATTGGAAATAAATACGTAACTTTGGTAAAATTTAAGCATTTGTATTTGGCAATATTTATTATCACAATATTCTTTTAGCTGCATTCTTAAAGGCAAATATCGATATATCAAAATATAAAAAAACCCAAATCTTATTTGTGACAATTGTTAAAAGTATTATATTTGGGAGAAAACAACTGAATAGCTTTTGTGTCTAGATATCATTATATACGATATGTTATGCCCTCTAAGATTACATACAAACATTACTTTACACTTACGTATTACTATAGATGTTTTACGACTCTGTCTATTGCTATGCAAAATGTACAGGAAAAAGTATTTTCTCGCACATGCGCAATCTGCATAGGGCAGAAACATCACGCATTGCACTGATATAAAGTAGTCGTTCATAGACAGTATTTTCAACTGGATATAACTTTCAATTGCGTTAAATGGCGGATGTCACTCCTTTTCTTTTTTCAATATACCGTAAATTAGCAGATTATATTAAATTGAGGTTATATAATTAAAGACCACCTACTCGCAAAATATGAAAAGATATTCAAAGGTCGGACAAACAATATGTTAAGCCGGTACAGATTCGGATTAATGCGCCGCAATATGCGGTCCTGTTCCAGAGTTCATATGACGAAAGAGTAAATATAATTCTTTTGCTTGAATACAAATAGAGAAAATAAAAATCCCTAAAGAAAGCCCAACACGGCAAAATTGAAAATGTTGCAGGCTCGATTTGACTGAGCCTGTCCATGGACGGTACTGAAAAGTGCAAATTACCCTCCTAGCCTCCTAGCACCGGCTTTCGCTATTTGCCTTACGCTGAATGCGCATTTGCTAAATGCTTCTTCTATTCTTAGGTTATATCGCGTTGTTAAAAAGGTCTATTTCGGCATCTTAACATTACTTTGTATATCTAACAAATGTCTAACTGATATAAGAAATAGAAAGAAAGAATAAGAAAGAAAGAAAGAAAGAAAGAAAGAAAAAAAAGAAAGAAAGAAATTGTTCTCACTAAGTATTGCTTTACTATTTGAATTAACGATTAATGATTCACAATTTTTTACACAGCCTTTACACAACTAAAAGTGATTAAGTTATGATTTCTATTGATTATCTATTAATATTCTCTCATTTTTAATTTGTCTAATTTATATTCCCGTTTAGACTATGATACTATTAATTATGTCAATCAATACAATATCATGAACAACTGTTTCTGCTTTTGTCTTATTAATTATATTAATGTTCTATGTCCTGTTATAAGGTTTCAGGAAGTTTGGTCGATTCGACACTTTAATTATGCTTCCAATTTATTCCATTTTGCATCACGTTGATATTATTCGCGACATTTATTTAATCACTTATATCCTTTACAGCATTTTGTATAATTAACCGCAGCTTAAACATTCGTTAAATGTGCATGACAAATTGTCTTTGTAAAAGAAATGTATCATACAACATATTTTGAAGTGACTGACATATCGCTTAAACGCATTAAAACATATTCTATCTTAAATAAGTGGTAGAATCGATGCACAAACTATTTGTAGAAATTATGATAAATTTTATAACCTTACCAAAGTTAACAATAGAGGCAGCTATTTTGGTTTTCGTTAAAATATTTTACGCACTTAAATCCCTCTCTTCATCAAATATAATATAGTTCGGAAAACAAAATTAAATAGAACAAACAGTCTTTGATATTGTCTAGCTAAAAATGGTTTTCGAATGAATTCAATCGCCGTTCTCGTTAATTCAAAAAATGTATATGTAAATTAGTATCTTAAAGTGACATATTGTATTTAAATTTTTTTTTTTTAGAATTATTCGAAAGGGTATTAGAAGCTTTAAAAGCAAGTGATACAAGTAGTTCCTCAACATATTCTGGTGATATTTCGGAATGTTTTGTAAAATGTTAGAAATAGGTACGACAGTGTAGGTTAAATGAATTGAGACATTGTTTTGGTAATATGCTTTTTCTAATATTTTAGATGAAATGTGCATTTTGTGATTTTAAACGAATTTTACCAAGTGTTATGTACGAACTTTAGTATTTCTATAAAAATGGGTGAATCACTTCATTTTGTCTTCAAAGTAAATATAGCAGTTTACACAGACAAAATTATAACATCCATTTCTCAGAAGAACCAATCGAAGACATCTATCATCGCAAATTATGTATGTTTAAGTAAACACTGAAGAGTTTCGATGATTAAATATCTGACAGACATATCGAGAAACTGTACAGAGGTTAAAAACATCGTAATAAATATCTTTTCATTCAATATTCTAAGAACACTGTACCGCATGATATTTAGGAGCAATTAACATCAGTTAGGGATACACCTCTTTCAAGTTTTATCTTTCAAAACAACATATATAACTTTTATTTAGACCTATATGGTACAACTGACTAAGATTTTAGTTTTATTGTGTAGTTTTTATTTTCCTTCTGTTACTCATATTCTTAATTAATGTACATGTTATTTTAATTATCATAATTAGGATATGTAAAATGGTCTTAGATTATGTAATTTGATATAATTTGTTTCTCAGAATAGCTTTATTGAATTCAGCTCCAGTAACATGGATATAATGCTTTGAATAACTATACCCATTCTAGCTCGACATATTAAGTCATATTTAGTTTAATTACATTTCATTTTGCTAGTGTTAAGATACATGAATGTATCTATGGTCAATATTCAAATTAATAACAAAATATTTGCGTAAGATAAATTAATTTCAGCATCCTAGTAAATCCATTACAAACAATAGATTGTTTGACCAGATATTAAGGTTCAAGTACAGACAATGGCATTAAAGCAATACAAAAGTTCAAGATTGTTTAGTTTTGTAATATAATTCATGTATTATATTTCCGTTAGCTAGGATAGATTGGTGTATCGACCATTAAACACATGAAGGTAGAAGAAACCGACAATAATCTTAATGACATTGTAGTTAACTCGTCTCCCGAGAATAATTATTTACAGACTGTGTCAAAATAAAAGTTCTATATAGTTAGTGAATTTATCCAATATTTAGAGTAAAGAGTGATAATAATTTCTGATACTAAACTAGAATGACCTTGTTGAATATAGCTTTTGGTATTGATAAACAATCAAAGACATAATCAAACTTTTAGCAAGACGACAGTACAATATACATGTTATAAGTCATCATCACGTCAATTATATCTTAAACTTTTCTATTTCGCTTTATCTCTGGATGTAAAGAATGGTATACAAACAATTATCTGACTGGTTTCAGACATTGTGATGTATCCTTGCCATTTCTGTTATACATTTCAGTCCTGCACTGGCAGATATATGATGCAGAATGGTACCTTGTAGATATATAAAGTTATATAGGAGGTTTTATTTATATTCAGGACCTCATATGCACAATAAAAAGTACCACATAAGAACATTTATTATATACTAATTGTAAGGGAGACATGCGTCTATTGCACTCTTGTGCATACTCTATTTCAGGTGACAGACTAGATTTTGATATGCCAGATACAGCTTAAGTTTATGGCATGTTCTTAATATCATGTAAAATACAACAATACAATATCAGACAATAAATAAATTGTTCACAACACTTCCTATAACGAGCTCAGTATTATATTACCGTTGTTACTATTATTGAGACTGGTTTGTAAAAATATTGCTTTATCCAACACATTCATATTAAATATATACATTAATACCTTTCGAATAAATGACGTAAATGTACTGTAACGAAAAAGTAATATTTTATTATATTGTATATATTCTAAATCAGACACAAACACTTTGTATTTATATATACCAGATCAATCGAATTCACATTTTTATAGTTTCTTGTGTGAAGTATTTGACATTTTGATATGTCTTTAGGCAGATCTATTTTCAGACAAATTGGTGTAATTGGTCGATGTTGTGTCAGACAAGGTTTTCATTTATGTCTGCCTGATATACTCTAGATGTCAAAATATTTCGTGTTTCTAAAATAACACACTCGAGTATAATACAAGAACTTTCAAATCACATCAGCGTTATGCTGACAATAATTATTTGAGCATTGAAAATATACGTGTACAAAAATCATCCTCTTATAGCTATAAGAACATACATGATGTATATGAGCCATGCTGTCTAACTTTGAAACAGATTGGCGGGCAGTAACAGAAATCCCATGGCGAAGGAAATAACTTACTCCAATTAGCATGTGGTTTCTGGTTGCCTTAATATAAGGAAGTAGCCGAATGTAAAGAACTGAAAGTCTAAATATGTATTCCTTAAAAATAAAAATGTATACTTTTATACATGTGTATGGCAAAATATTTTTCTTAATTAATTTGTCACCATAACAAACAGATTCCGCAGTTGACTTATCCATTTTGTTTTCTAACTTATCCATTTTGTTTTCTATTGAAATCCAGAGACAGAGGAATATTTGTAATGTATCAGAATATGCAACTGATGACATGTGACGACAAAATGTAGTTTGCTAATTGCTCATTCTTTACGTTAAGCACAACAAAGAACTGATTACTTTTTATACATTTGTTGACAGAAAAATGTTGAATTATGTTAGATTATTCATTATTTGAAATCTGGCTATTAGAAGGTTAACATACGTAAAACGTATTTTGATATCTTTATAATCAAATATGCTTTATAAATACAAAACGGACAGTGTCATTTTTTACACAAATAAAACATTATACTGTTTTTAACGACGTACGTTTATCACAGCTACTTTTTATTACATCAAAATGTGAGTGATTGCAACCTTTTCTTACAAAACAGCTACATAAACATGCAATAATGTAGCAGAATGGAAAGTAAGCTACCATGGAATGATTAAACCCATAGGAAAAAAAGTATTGTTATGCCAGCAACTTTGTTAAAGTAAAGTTTAATGTGGGAAATTAATGCTAATCGCTTTCAGTATGCTATAATCCGACAGCATTAGTGTGTCAAACAGTTATTTTCAATAAACTTTAATCAAGTAAATGGAATCGTTAATTTAATTGTGGATATAAACGCTAGGAAGTATGAAAATAATTTTAGTTTTATGATGACATTCACAGCTTGTATTATAGAACGGACAAAGTATTTTTTCTAAAGATCTAACTGTATCTGTTAATAAACTCTAAAAATACATTGCCACAAGATTTTATTGGAACGGCGTCATTGAAACATTGTATTAAAACTTAAAATATTAGCTGCGTGATTACGTAGTTCTTAATTGATTTTTACAGTCATGAACGTTTTGTAAGATTTCGAATTGATAATACGTTTACTATTCTAACATTGTATTTATTTTTATCTTTAATTTTTATTTCTAAAGAGTTATTATTAAAAATATCAAACAGTTAGCTTTTTCAATATTGGCTGAATATGCATTGATAATTTTTTTTCAAAATATGTAGTTTCATGTCATAATTTGATCACAGATCAACATTTAAATACTTAATACACGACAAAACTATCAATGTTGATTAGTGATAGACAATAGTGTTATTGCCTCGAGGATTATTTAAATGTTTACCTTATAGTTAAAAAAAATTTTTCCGTTAGATATTTATGCTTGATCACATTATAAACTTGATTAAGCAAGCAGTTTTTACAACACCCTTCTAGACTTGTAAAACTTCTCTAAAAAAGTTTCGTAGAAAGACAGAATAATTTCCATTTGAAAGGATGTGCAAAATAAATAACGATAAAAAAACTACAAAAAAACCAAACAAACAGAAATCTTACAAATAAACATTCCTTAAATAAACGTTCAGTGGAATATAAAACTTTTCTAGATTTCAATATAAATTTTATGACATAAACAGATGTCCCTTTACGTTTATTGTAAATCAATTAATACGTGCATCTGGTATTTAGTTCTTTTCTAATATTGTTTATTTAATTGATGCTAAGCTCTGGCAAATGTCTAGTCCTCAAAATGTCTCTCTTTGTCTTCAATTATTGTAAACGAAGAGACAGTTCATGTTTTTCTCCTATTTGAAGCAGATATCAGTTTAGAATTGTGGAACACATTATCATCAACTTACTACAACTTAGCTTTGATGAGTCAATTATTTATCTAGCGTTATATTAAATGTTTAACAAAAATTTGCATCATAATAGACTAACAATTGACCTTTGTATACATAAAATCAGATAGATGTTGATTAACATATTTAAAAGATATATTTTATTACATATTATATTTATTTTCTGTTTGACTTTACTAAAATGTTTTCATGCAAAAATATATACAAGTCATGTATTTGTATTAAATACATGTATGTCAAACATAATACGCTATTATTACTGCTTGCAACTAATAGTAATATCAGTTGGATTCTTTCGATGTTTGTTAACTTATCCGCGTATCGAACACAGTTTTTATTGAGTTTGGTTCTGGTCATTGTTTAACTATGTTCAAAATATAGAATTGACTTGTATAAACATGAAATCATAACCTTTTTTTAGACTCCAGTTACTTGGTTAAAAATCACGGGCTTTCAAATCCTACTATAAAATATATATCGCTCCACATAAAAGTATCCTAGGCATTTCAGTACCTATTCTTTCTTTTTGTTTTAGTACTTTTAAGTTCCAACACTTATTGTTCATTTAAAACGACTGAGGCAATTAAATCAGATATTTTAGTATGTATAGCTATGTCAAAGTATTTTAAACGTAGTGCACATGCATTGGATGAGCAATCAGCATTCATGTTTTTAGCAGATAATAAAATACCATTAATAGAACAAGAAGAATTGGTTATGGTCTTACTGACAATTATTTTTGCTCTCCTCATATATATATCGAAAATGTTGCCTAAGAAATTCTTCACATTGCGTTTCAATAAGAATGAACTTTTTTCATTAGTGTTACGTATATTGTCAATCTATAGTTCAGGGAAAATATTAGAAATAAGAACTATTTTACTTGCTAACTTTGGTGTGTTTTCTCGTTCTTTCGCCGTCGTGTAAAATTTTTTCCCGTTTTTTTTTTTAAATCTTGATGTGAAACAAACATTAAAACTCCGTTTAAACTCCATTTGATGAGAATCATATCATACTTTAATATTTCATATTTTATTATCATAATGAATAAGTTATATTTTTCATTCGTACATTTAATTTCTAGTGCTTTGACTATACATTCATCAAGTTTAAAGGAATTATATTTCACAAGGCGACTCGTTGCTTGCAGAATTTTGACAATGATATATCTATATTACGTTTTGAATAATAAGAATAGTTGACGTTTTTGAGTTAACAATAACAAGCATTAATCAAAATGTGAAATTAACTAGGAAGATATGAAATAAACCATTCTTGCAGATATTGACTTGTATGCAATAAAACCTCATATTTTGATTAAAGTATGCTATTTATTTTATTGAGTTTTTTTTTGTTTATCTGGGGGATTTTGTAGCAATCAAATACAGATATTTATAAGGTTTTCAAATTTGATACAAAGTCATCAGTGATGTCAAATGTACATCTGTGAACATTTCTCTTTACAGTTGTATCATACTGTCCTGACACGAACCACTGGAGTGTATGGTGGACCTATGAAGGATCAAATTCAGGTATATAGTTTTACTTCATTTATTTTTGAGCATAGGACTTTTGTAACAAGGTAAAACATTGATACATTTGGAGAAAATTACTGTATTAGACACAAGGAATTGTTTTTGAATGTTATCGACGGGATACCAGTAATGTATCAAAGTTGTCACATTATTTTGAAAGGGTATTTGAAGTTTGGTTTCTGTTATCATCACATCAACTATTTCAGTTATGTTTTTATTGTTTTTGATTCGACGACTGTGTATTTTCTTGCTTGGTGACTTTTAACCATTTGCGTTATCATTCGGATGGTAGCCTAAATCGATCCTATTTTACAACATTTAAGATAAACCCTCGTCAATAATAATAACAACTTGGAGGTTACTTTGCAATTTAAACTATTGCAGTTTATCCAAACATGTTTATTGTCTTAATATTCAATAAAGTGTAAAATGTATAAATGTTTAAATGATAATTTGTCGAAAATTTTACTCTTTTGTTCCATTTTACAGGACCTTCAGTTTGGGGAGCTAGAAATAAAGATTGGGCAATATGTAAAACAGGGAAGAATCAATCTCCGATCGATATTCTTCCAAATTCCTTACTTTACGATCCACAGTTACAACCTTTAAAAATAGAAACAGCATCGGTAAGTGGTACTAATGTATAAAATAGCATATAAAAATTAAAGCTGCACGCCTCCTGATGAGCAAAAATATTTCGATAAAATCAAACCTGAGAAAAATGTACTAAGATTTTGGAAAGGTATAAAGATTCAAGTATCTAGTAAAAGTTTACATGTTATATGCGATTAATGACAGAATTTTTCAGTTGTATAACTATATATTAGTTATGCGTTACTAACGCAGTAAGAGCTATTTTTGCATATTTTGACCTCCATAGTAATTTACATAGGTTGTAAGTGCCATTGATTACGTGTTAATTGCATTATTTTGCAATATTATACTGTTAAATACATTTTCAAATTTTCATGAAAATCAGCTTGAATCTGGAGGTGTGCTGCTTCAAAACATGTGTCACATTCCGATTCATTTATTCATTATTTGAACTTATCATGATAATTGCAATAACAAAAATGTTTAAATATCTGATCTATATTGTTATAAATACTTTAAATGATCTTACTTACATTATTTAAAGCGACATTATGCTCATTTTCTCGCTGCCATTTGAATTAATTTAGTAATATGTTTCAAAAGATCGACTAATGTAATGGCGATTGGCAATAATTGATAATGAATAATGTTTATGATACAATGTAAAGCTTCTAATAAAAAGACTGTCCTTTTCTTTTTGTAAGAATTACCGATACATTATGTGCGATATGTACAGACATTTCTGTTGGTCACGTGGATTATTGATTATTTTTTTCTAGTTAAATATAAAACATGATTATAGCAAAATCTTTACTGCCCATTTACACTGGATGGGTATAATAACACTTTAATGGTCATGGTTTTCTTTGCTTATTTCTAACTATTTAGGTCAATGGTGTCCTAAGAAACAACAAAAAGGATTTAACATTTTTGATTTCAAATAAGTTTGAACCTGCCGTTAATATAACATCAGGACCATTGTCATACACATACAAACTTTATCAAATAAAGTTGCATTATGGGAGATTAAATACAACAGGATCTGAACATCGGATAGATGGGAAATCGTTCTCAGGCGAGGTATGTTGAACATTTAAATACCCATTGCATTACATTGCCTTTATTTCTGAAAACATTTTCGTAAAAATGATAAAGTTTTGTTTTATGTCATTTTGTGAAGCTAATAATAGGAATCAATATAAGAGTTTAATGTTAAAATGTACAGATAGTGGTGTCCCCCTGGGTTCCTTGCCATTGGTTCTTGTTGCTGGGTCATGTGGGGGTTGCGTTCATTGAACGCCGCCTTTCCTTGTTGATCTTGTTTATCATATTTTAGTAAATATAACTTCAACATGGTCATGCTTCTAATGTATTTTAAAAACGTATTTTAAAAACACACACATAACGAAATATTTTTGTTACAGTTGCAGTTTATGGCGTATAATTCAGAACTTTATGCAAACCATTCTGAGGCCCAAAAGAATCCACGAGGCATAGCGATTATAGCAGTATTTCTTTCCGTAAGTTTTGAAATCCTATTTTACCCTACATTAACTTCTTTTTAAAGACTATCTAATACGGCATTAAAATACTGTAATAGAAAAAGGAGAATTAAAACTGTGAAATATTCATTTTACTGTTTGAAATCTCTTTTCTGGTCACATTAAGATTAACACTCATTATTTTCAGATTGGTGATACAGGAAATTCTGCATTTGAAATGTTTCGGCAAAAATTTGTATTGATAACATCAACAGGTAGGTAAATGTTTGGGTGATTATCGACCTTGGAAACATAATAAAAACATATTTCCAGTTCTGTTTTTTTTCCAAAGTAATTTAAGATTAATCTATAGATTCTCTGCTAATGCAGACCGAAATATAAAAGATGGATTCATATTCACAGATGTGTGTTGTAGCATTTATACTCGTATATAACAATTAGAATAGTTAATAATTGATGAATCTCTAAAACAAACATTATTTTAGATAGCTGCATCCTTTAAAGATTAAACATTTAGTAAAATATGTTGTTATTTTAGACACTTGTACAGATTTGCATGGTTTACCTATCGACAAGTTGTTGCCAAGAACAGATCAGTATATGACCTATAGTGGATCATTGACACAGCCTGGTTGTAAAGAAACTGTGACGTGGATACTGTTAAATAAACCTATATATATCTCATATAAGCAAGTAAGAAACTAACTATCATATCTTAACCAATATAAACGAGTTTTGTCTTGTAAAACATTCAAACTTTTATTTTGTTTTGATACCATTTATTCATATTTTGAATAAAGTATCTCTTACTCAATTATTATTTCATCGTTTTTATTTAACTTGCAGATGGAGGATTTAAGAGAGACACCTTATCAAGAATGGATGAATTCTAATGCAAGACCTGTGATGCCTTTAAATCATAGGACCGTCCGAACAAATATAAACTTCCGTAAAACGGTAACATTCATTATTATTACTATTACTGCAATTCAGTAGACCATTATATATTTGAATATTAAGTCTAATAAGTGTGTGAATAAAACATACTGCCATAGCTGACAGTTTATAATTTTTGCATTACATTGTTTAATATAACTCGAAACTACTTTTTTCCCAATTTAAAACATTCTTTCAAAATCCTTTCCTGAGAGGTGTTCAGTCGGAATAATTGAAACTATTGTAGAACAATATATTATTATAATATTGATATATTTTATCAGACGCGGCTATGCAGTATGAAGATTTCCAAGAAATATGAAGGTAAGTTTCTATTTGTTACAGCAGTATTGACGAGCAACTATCAAAAATCACGTACCTTTTTATTATTATAAACGATAATGTAAATAAATGAAAATATATTTTACTTCTATAAATACATAAAAACTTGAATTGGATTTATCCAATAACTGTGTTGTAGATAATGGATATGTTTAATTTAATTATTGAAAGAGTGTAAATAATTAAAGAAGTTAACATATTTAATGAAACCATGTTTAAAAGGTAAATTGTTGTTAATATATTTCCAGCAAACCCAGAAGTGGGACAAAGATAGTATATAACAAAACCATAAGTAAAAAACAAATACTTCTTCACAGACAATAAATCGTGTATTTAATATAGAGCTCCGTACAGTAGCGCTTATATTTTTAAAGGCGATTAACATGACCTAAAACAAACCAGACCAGACCAAGGAATGATGATATTCACAACTCCCGGAGATAAGCTGAAGTTGGCATGTTCAACAACAATTCGTTCTGATTGGTTATAATGTAGGAATGTGTGTACCGCAAAGCTTGCATAATTATGGTCGTATCAAAAAGAATGATGATCGTGAACATTAACCATGTTATGTTATGAATATTACACCATCATTGATGAATCTTGATAACGTTGTACCAACGTTAACACTATGATAACAATAAAACTATTTGTATCTAAATGTAAGGCAAATAATTATCAGAGATTGTAATGACATATATAATGTTGATGTGTTGATATTACATATATCGCACGGTATATTGCTGTAGTGTATACATATTACATATTGGACATGGATCGCGTAGTACTAGTATATAGATATTGAATTGTATCAATAGACTATTCATTGGGACCATACAAGTATTTGTTTCGATTAGTTGTGATATGGCCTAAAGTTTGGAGAAGATAAATGATTCAATAGTGATAAGGTATTAAGGAAGTATTACTTAAATGTATGTAGCTGCAGCAGAATGTAAAACTGTAGATGAGTCAGCGAAAAAAATGTTAACAAAATAGTTGCCTTTTTGTGTATTAGTGTGTAACTAGTAGAATAATAGATTGTGTTACTATATAAAATGTACGACATAATATATGATTCTGTTTTGCTCGTTGGTATGTATGATAATCCATGAACTCTTGTATTGCTAAAACAAAGCTGTTATAATAAATTTTATGATTTTGTGTCAAACCTTGACCATGCCTCTAGATAGAGTCAACAGATTCAATTACCTTAAATCTCTCTTTTAAAACGTTTTGTTAGTGGGATGCAGCGTTTAATTTGTATTTGAAACTTGATACATCTTATCCTCGTGTCATTTACTTTAAGTGATTCAAAGATATGCATCTTATTGAAAATTATATATAATTATGGGGGGATCATAATTGTCTGCCTCGCCTACATTAACTGGCATTTTATAAATTGTTTATATAATATACAAATTTACTTATATTTCGACCTATATTTGTTTCGAATCTGTGTATAAAATAAAAAAGTGTAACATTCTAGGTTGTATATTTCCAAAATAAATCATCAATAGTAAGTTACTTTCTTAATCTAAATACAAACTTCGATGCCATTATTTTTCTCAGTAAATAAAAGTGGAATTTGAAAAGTCATACAAAGTAATCTTTGACTCAATCAGTGCGCAGTTTTACTACCGCCAAGTTTTAAAAATTGATTTTCTAGAAAAGAATACAAAGTTTGTATTTATCTTATTTGAATTTTTGTAAATATATTTGTATAAATATAACATTATATGAACAATGTAATGGTGCTAAACATTAAGCATACTCGTTTATTTATTGCATAGATGTCTGCAGTGTAAAGTAGTGCAATAAATTTCCAAATATTTTGTTTTTTTAATTGTTTATTATTCTCCCGAGTTTGAGATCACTATCTCGGGGTGAATACCATGATTTGAAATGGTCAATACATAGTAATCTAAATGGTTTCCAGGTGAGAGAAACGATTGTCTTAATTAGTGAAGAATTATCATCCCTTTTTCAAGATTGATTTAGTTTAAGCGAAGGTAAGAGTTTGATCATCGTGTCTCACAAAAAAACACAATTAGTATAATTTGAAGCTATTGTACTTCGTAATTACTTTGCGTTAATGCAATTTTAATATACTGCTTAAACATAACAGCGTATTTTATGTTTCAAATATAACTTGCCCCCTGTGTCAACTTATCTTGTACGAGCTTTATTCAACTAGAAATATCTCTTTAATAACATCTGGTGCAAGTAGTCTATAAACTTTGCTTATTTTTACATACTTTTACAGAAGTGTGCTTAATTTTGCCAAATGAAATAGAACTTGTAAAATCTAAAGCACTTGCAAAAATAATAAGATACACAGAACCATGATTGTAATGTTGACTGTTATATTATACCATTTGATATGTATTTTGGTATAAACATTATGTTTACAGAAAAAAGATCATCCAAAATATGATTTCTTACTATCCTTTTTAAAATATTGATAATGTGATTGTATAACAAGTCAAAATGTTACAACAAGACATAAATTTCAAATAGAAACGTGTAATGTTTTACATTTAGATATAAACATTCGAAGAGCAGCATTATATTGTCTTCATAGATGATGTAAATAACAATATTGGAATTGATCCAGACATAGGTATTTGATATATTGAACTGTAATGAACATCAATTTGTCAAAATGATTAGAGTCTACACGCAATATAAACCTGCATGATATAAATCACAGAACATTTATAATTCAAAAGTATGTATTATCTGACAATGATACTAATTCACAAAGGAAATATGTCTTGATGTTGCTATAAAAATGCTATGACTGCGTGTATTTTATGAATGATTTGGAAGAGGAAGGAAAGTGGTTTTAAAACAATGCATTGTAAAAGCTGTTCATTTTATTTTGTCGATCAATTTGTAACATTTGCAATTGTTGCATATAAAACACAAATACACACAGAAAATATTCAATTCAAACATTTAGGGTTGAAATGTATTTGAACATACAATAGATGAGCAAAATACTAACTGTCGATAACAGTTTCAGAAATAATATGAAATAGATTTATTTTATAAATAATCCTATAATTTTACTTAACAATACACATGATCAAAGATTTTTGACCTTGTTGAAAAAGCCTGCCGGCTGTTCTTGCAGAATTTTATCTTCGTTTCTAAAGATCTTAAAAATCACGAGCAAAGGCAATATTGGGGGTGGATTTCCTAAACAAAGCATCTTACAGCTAAGCAAGCATATTCCAATTACTAATGTTGTAAATAATTGCATAAGTATTAAATTCTGCCTTACCGTAATTGCTAAAAAGTTTGGGTTGAATATTTCTTCTGAAATTTAAAGTAAATCAAATAATATAAGTGGAAACGCCAGTGACTGCAACAAATTTTCTTCAAGAGTTTATTTCATTCAAAATAAAATTATTTAAGTATTTTTGCTTTAGATTTGCAAAACCGTATGCCGCTTGTCGATATTGTACATTATTCCATTTAATATTTATACTGAGATAAAAAAGAATAACCCTTTTCCAAACAGTATAATTTAATCATAAAGTGTTTGTATTACGTACTACATTGATGATTCAGACAATTGTAAATAACAGCTTGAGTTTGTCACTAATGATCATGTTCTAATTGCATAATGAAATGCTTAACTCATATTTGCATCAATCTATACACTGTATATTCGCGTCAATCTATTCACTGTAGAGACATCGAGCTTTATCTTCAAGATAACATAATGTGGACATTGATAAAAATGATTTAAAGTATTCATTGTTTCAGCCCAACTATGCAAGTTAAAAATATCTTTTCCTGATATTAAAAAGAGCCAAATAGCAACTTTTGAGAAAACAGATGCCCTATAATCAATTGATATTTGTATCTAATTGCTCGTTCATTTCATTTGATCAAATTGTCTTCTGTTAACGCTTGTCGCCAAGTTATTTTCAGACCAGTTTTTACCATATAGCCTCAATACAAGTATAGTATTAAAATAGATATGAAATTCGGGAAATTCAATTGTTGCCTCAAATAAATATATATAAGGATTATATATTAAACTAAACAAATTAGTAAACGACTAAAACAACATGTTAACGACAAAAAATTACAAAAAACTAATTGATTTATTCGTTAAGACCAAACGACCAAAATGTAAACACAGAATATATCCTAGTTTACGTTTAATAGCGAATGAATTTCGCCGCATTTCCTATATTTCATTATATTTCACTAGCTTTGTCACATCATATTAATCTAAATATATAACATCATTTCATTTTTTGTAAAAATGAATGTTTCAATTTTAAAGAGAATATTCATTCAGAATTGGGATGGAATTATGACGACCTTCTTTTAACTGACTTAACCCTCATTATTTAATTTAAACTTTAGATTATTATTTTATCATTTATGTTTAACTTTTGAAATAATTTTAATATTACACTTTAAAATAATTGTATCCAAGCTGAACATAACAAAACACATTTCTTATGGTCAAAATATTTCTTATTGTATAAATGTATCTCAAAAGACAATGGAGTGCAAAGAGCAAACACTTTACAAATTAACGATAATTTTGTGAAGTTTGATATTCAAGTAGAACAAACATCAACCATATAAGAATGTAAAATATTAAAAACAGAAAATTATATCGTAGCTTAGCAATAAAAAAACAGGGAACAAAATAAATCCCTCCACTTGGTTGAGACTCAAAGACTAAGGCAATTGGTGAATTATGGCGTTAAGGGGAATCTGTTGTTGTTAAATGATACAAGTAGAATAAAGAGACATTACAATAGCTTATGACATGCAAAACAAATCACGTGTGATGAGAAAACAGTTTTATAATAACCTTTCACAGCTTGTTGAAGACAGAAATATGTTCCGGTCTTTAAAGTTGTTAAAACAATGTTTTGTCTGTAAATTGAAGCGAAACATTTTGGGGAAATCTTTGCTCCCTTTGAATTTCGTTGACACTTCAATAATTCAATCCTGTTATAATAAAAAAATTTATTGATATATAATGTCACGCTTAAAGCATTTTGGAAATGTACGACTTAATTATAAAATAATAAGTAAAGGAAACACTTACCTGTATTTCTATTATACTCGTACAATGACCAAGCATTGACAAGTCTTATATTAGAAATAAGATCAAACACAATATTATTGATAACAATACTGTTTATTATTTTGCTGATATTAGAGCAAGAGAAAATAATTTCCTCTTTATTTCCTGTTGGGAAAAGAAAACTATTTTGCTACAGACAAGTTGCCGAAAGTCTGGGCATGTTTCCGTGTATGGTGATAACAAACATTTTCTGGCCTTTGACAGTTACAATGTAGAATTTCAATATAAGAACTGGGATGATAAACCTAAGAATATCATAAAATAATAATTATGATGATGATGCCATTTGTTGGTGAAAATGTTTATTTTCCCAGCCACTTGATGCCAAATATATCACTCAAGCCAAGGACCAGATAGAATAAACAATCATCGACCTTCGAAAATCCTGATAGCATACATTTGGGGATGTTATATAAGAGTAGTTATTTCTTAGTTACAAACGATAATCACCATTACTATTTGTTTCTAAAGCAACATTGAGGATATGAGACTGTATTTGAATTAGTTAGATGTTAGAGTAAATTCTCATGAGGTTGTGAAGATATTTATTTCTTACACTCTTGGTTATTTGTTATGATTTATCTGACACCTCCAACCAGACAGCAATCTGCTCTAGTAGCAAAATGTTGAGAAACAATATTATTTTATCAAGAGCTTTTTAAAGGGGAACATTACAAACATATTAAGCTGCATGCCTGCAGATGAGCCAAAATATCACAAGAAAATCCAACTTGAGAAAAATGTACTTATTGTAATTGTCAAGAAAAATAAACAAAAATATCCAAGATTTAATTAATAATTAACATGATTTTTCAGTATTAATCACCATATTTCTACTGCGTTACTAACGCATTTAGGGCTATTTTTGCATATTTTGACCTCTTTTTGTTTTTTTACAAGTGTCGTTTGCAATGTGAAAATAAATTTCTCTATTCTTTTTACAATTTTTTACTTTTTAAGACATTTTCAAACTTTTCATGAAAATTAGCATAAACTGGAGACTTGTTGCTTTAAGTATATCCTTAATAAAACAATATTGTTCATTAGCTTAGTATATTTTGTTAATGTTATTTAATAG